GCCAGAGAATGTCACAGTTGCCACCTTCCCCACAGCTTGCTGATACAGCTGCAGGTTAGCGTCGACCCTCCCTGCGACTACTGGATTTGGTGCTGGGTCACAAGCTTTCAAGGATTTTTGTATTTTGGGATATTTCTGCTTCCCTGTAGTGACTTAAATATGCATAAATGCAAAAAATAGATTCTATGCTAAATATTTTGACAAGAAGAAATACTGTAGTGTTGAATTACTCGATCGAATACAAACAGATTGAGAACTCCAAAGGGGTTTGAAGCTATACAAACCTAACTTCTTTTTCCCTACTAGTCACAGATCATAATCAACGTTGCATATGTTATACAATATAAATGAGTATAATTTCTTTCACTGTATCTAGAATGTACATCTTTTTGTAGAAGTTCATTATAATTTTATGTTGAACTCTTCTTTTCATTATGGTTGCGATTCAAACTAAGTTTTTAAAAATAAGATTTTACATTTGAATACGTTTTTTAAAAGGTTGATCACATGACTATTGTTTTTTTGCTGAACCGTCATGGTCCCATAACTATTACATAATTAATTTTAATTATTTATCTTGCTTTACACTGAAGGCTTTTAATCTTGAAGTACAACGTTCCATATGTATGTGAACTCCATGTGCAACAAGTCAGCATGGCAGTGAATAGAAAGAAATCCCAGTTTGATCTTGAACATCAGTAGCTAGCATTGTGTTCTGTAGTTACAATGAAATCGTGTATCTGTTCAACTAAAATTTAGAGAAGTGAAATATAAAGTATTTTTTCCCCATCACAATATGAATTAGATAAATTTACAAGCTCAGAAGTACTGAGTTAGTAATAAAAAAGTTAAAAGACCCTTCATTTGAAGCAGCTCTGCAGTAGTTAGTAGGTAACACTAATGAAAGAGGCAGCGTGCAGTGGTAGTGGTCTCACACTGCTGAAGCATGTATGGGAAACAGCAATACAAATCAAAGGAAAAGGTTGTTAGTGTCAAAACTTTCATTCATTTCCTACAGCGTCATATCTTTTTATTTTATATTAACGCAGTGAAATAGCGAGAAGAACAACCTATTATAAACTCTGCTCAGAAGCAGGGGAGCGCAGTTGTGACCTGCTTTATAGAGATGCGTTGGGCAGTACTACAGAGGAAGGCAAACCCTTCCCACGCGGTAGGAGCTTCTTGCCTCAGAGGTTTGCAGCCCAGAGAAGAGAGCAGCTCTCATGGCTCTCCTACTCCCCCTGCCAGGCAAATAGCCTGGGACTCACGTTATCGTTTCCATCTCCCATTTCTCCCCCACCCATGTTATGGCTGATGCTGCAGAAACAATGTGATAATCTGGAAGAAGGCTGACACAAATTGCTTCCTCACCTAAGGCAGAGTGGGAACTCTGTGTGCCTCAGAAGAAAAAAGGAGGTCATAAAAGGAAATGTGAAGTCCTTCATAGCTGAAGGTAGTCTGTCCCTACACCACATAATTAAGAGCTTCATTATTGTTTCTGAAAATTAGCTTTTTCCGTCTAACTCAAAGTCAGCTTCTCAATGCATGCAGTTTTATAAATCATTGTTTTAATACATTAATATTACATTTATATTTAACTTTTAATTGGAGAATTTGGAAACTAGTGAGACCCTTTATTTCATTGCCCTCCAAAGTCAGTTTTCCCGACTTATTTGATGCTTCTCATTTCCTATAACCTAATAACTGTTCCGCATTTCAGATTACATGTTTTTTCCTCAGTTTAAATCCATTTGTCATTTGCAGCATAAAGAATGTGCTGTATTTTTTATGCTGGTAGTGTTAGATACAGATTCCACTGTAGACCTAACAGAAACAGCAAAAGGTTATGCTTCATTAAGAAAAACTCTGCACAAAGTACTGTCCCAGTTTCTAGATCTGCAACTGCTATATGAAGATCCTTTTTTCAAGAACAAGCTTGTCTGTAGTGCTTTATTTGCACAGCAGCTTCTGATACATGAAAGTCTAATCTAAAAATAGAAAGATACCAGCTTTTACTGAGTGAATTATTTCCAAATGCAGTTCTTCATTGCAAGAAGAGTGTAAAAACAACTAAGCAAATAAATAAAACTCAGCCCTGTAAAGCACAGTCATACTTATGTGTACCAGGGAAGAAGTGGTGGATGGAGGCAAGAAAGGGAGGCCAAAAAGACAGAAAAGCAAGGGTTTAAGAGGTTTGGGGTTTTTTTTATTACATAGGTGGTAAAGCTATGCCTTCAGGGTTTATAATCTGTGGTTTTGTGAATATATTTAAAATTTAGTATGTTTGGATCCATTTTTCCTCCTTTGCATTCAGCGTGTCATTTGGACTTACAAACTCCTTGGGACAGAGACTTCATTTTAAGATGTGTACAAATGCTATCTGTTAGAATAGTTGACCGGTTTTAATTGAGATTTCTGGTACTCCCAGACTGCACATTAATAATCATAGTTAATTTTCAATGCTTTTTATTGGAACAGGGATGTACTGAGAAACCATTGACACGGTGCTGTGTTTTTTTTCCTCTTTAAAATCAGGGTTTACTCTCTTAGCTTTGGATATACCCAGCAAAGCCCTATCAGATCTCCAGCCACAGCCTGTTCTATCAATGATGCAGCTGTTTGGATGGGATGACATGGTGTGGCCTCAGCTGGTGTCAAGATATCTAAGTCACCTAATTCAGAACAGGTGAAAAATTGCAACTGCTTCTTCTTCCGTTACCTTGTCATCCCTCCAATAGACTTGTGGAAACTGTTTCTTCAAACAGTAATGCTTCATGAAGATGGTCCGGGTTCTTTGCATCTGCTAAAGTTTTAGGTTTCTTGAAATCATCTGGGACATTTCACAGCAGATAGTGGGTGTTATTTGGGTTGGGTTGTTTGTTTGTTTGTTTTTGTGTGTAAATAGCTTAAGATACTAAAAATTTGTCAGGAAGATAGGTAAGTATTTTGAAAAAGTTATTTGTCTTTTTATTTAGCAAACCCCCCCCCCCCCCCCCTCACCGGAAACAGTGTTGTTACTAACAGATTTTGGAAACTGGGGACTTAGACATTATCTTCCGTGAAGAGCAATACTGCATCAAAGTGAAATGCCTAAACCATAACCTATTTTTAATTTGCATGTAGTTATCCACCCCTGTCTGTTGTTGTTACACTTGGGCAAAGTTGTTACAGTTTGGCAAGGCAGTCGCCTCCTGCCCTAGCTGCCCTTGAAGTTTAGGTAGTAAGTATTAGTATTTTCACTTCTTCAAACTGAAGAACTTCTCCAGGAAGCTGAGGAGGATGGGTTGGGCAGTATTGGAAGTATAAGGAAAATGATCATAAGGAAATGCATGCATTAAAACTTTCTTTTTGACAAGCTTGGAACACTTTCTAAGTGTGTGTTAATGTTCGTGTAGCTCAGGTTTCTGAGACCTGCTAAATGGATGCTTTAAATTAAATAATACATTTAGAAAATGTATCACATTACTATGTTTTACATGCTAATGTCAAATTTTCACAGAATCACAGAATTGTTTAGGTTGGAAGGGACTCTTGAGGTCCCGTAGTCGAACTTGTCCAATGCTTCTGCTCAAGCAGGGTCAGCTAGAGCAGATTGCTCAGGACTCTAAGTCAGAATTTTATATACCTGAGAAATTAGGTAGGCCTCTGTGAACTTAAGATAGATGGATGGTGGTGGCTGTTGTGGTGTGGGTTCCTCCCCCCCCCCGCTTCTGAATCAAGCTTTGGAAGCAGGGGAGGTGAGAGATGAGAGAGAGAGAGGGAGTGTTTCTATGTTGGACTGTATTTGAAAGTGAAAAATGTTGCACATTTTTAGGATACATATTGTACTAAGGAGCATAGCTGTAAATCAGGATATGGTAAAGACTATTTCAGTGTGATCAGCAAAGGTGAGGCTATGGCCTTCTTGCAGGGAGATGTAAAAAGAGATTGAATTTAGTTCCTTGTGTGTCAGTTTGGAATTTAGGAGAGGGATGATCAGTCCTCTGATTTGCCATATTTCTCTTGTATGATCTTTACAGGGCGAGTTTCATGCAAAGTGGCAGATACCTAGCACATGCAGAATTAAGTGGGAGTTAAGCACATAAATGCCCATTTATAATTTGAATTTTGTTGCTCTTCAGGTGAGATCAAGAAAAACATTTTGATGCCTAAACTGGAATTTTGGTATAATTTAAGTGCTTAAGGCTAATTACTGGTTCCCCCAGTAAACACTTAAATGATTGAAAGCACTTACTGAAGTATTTATTAGCAATATTCATTAAGCACCTGACATACTGTTCTATATGTATCCACAGATGCATTGCTATGCTGGCTGAGGTAACATTTACTGTATTTGGAACCATGGCTGAAGTATTCCTGTTTCCAAGTGTTTGGGAGCACGATTTCATTAGCAAGTGCAGAACACGCACACCGGGCTAATACTGAGTTCCCCATACAGCCTTGCTGCCGTAATTTCATCTAAAAAATGCAGTTAGCATTGATGGTAGTTACCTGGTGTACGTTAGTTGAGTGATTAGAACACTTGTGCAAGAATTTGGAAAACCCAAGTTAAGTGGGCCTCGCACTCTGAGGGAGTTCAAACCTTTATTTCTAAGTACCGCCTTAGAAAGGAACGAGAGGACCTTGCCCCCTTTTTGCAGGTTGTACCATGGACTAACTGAAAATGTCAGGTTCATGGGTCCATGTTGAGAGCACCAGCAGGAAAAAGCATGACGGCATAGTTGAGCGATGATGGGTATTTGTCTTTTGCTTACGTGTGCATCTATGTTTTCACTCTTTCTGGTTCTCTCTTATATGTTCTCACTCTCTGTCACCCTTTGCTTTTCCTAATCTTCCCCCCTGCTGGAAGCATGTGACAGAAAACACTCACAGAGGCAAATATTTTTGCCTCTAAGCTGTCGGGGTTGCAGTTGCCAGCCTCGAGGAGAATTGTCTGTTTCCCCTATCAGTTGCCTCAAGGCCAACAAGGTGAGACTAGGCGAAGGTATGTCCCTATGTCATCAACAGAGCTGTAAGGTGCTCAGGTTTCCTTGTGAAAGGACAATGAATACCTATGATAAGATTTTCCTGGTAGAATTATATAGAGATATTGTACTCTAAACACTGTAATTTTATTATATGCTAATAAGACAGCAATTTTTTTAGCATGATTCATGCACTTACTTACCTTAGGCAGCTGTAGAGCAAAAGTTATCATAGTATCTAAGTGCTGGGATCTTAAGACTTCATGGTTACTGCGTTGTGATAATTTTCACATTCTCAGTTAAAAATGAAAAAGATTATTTTGTTGCTGATGCTGTTATATATCCTGCAAGCTCTGTCTGGCCTCTTTAAGATTGAATCTTATTCTGCATATCAATTGTTTTCAATATCGATAATAAAGGTTCTGATGGATAAGCTCTGCCCTTGGGAACATGCACACAAGCTTTGGCATTTCTTTTGCAATAGTGCCTAAAAGTTCCTCTCCAGATCCATGTTGTTTACTGCATGATAGTATCATAACCTGTTTAAACTAACTCTGAGCATGTGTATAAGATCACTGGTTTAAAAGGACCACTTGCCATACTTCTAGCAGGTAGTTATTGGTTTTTTTTCCTTTCTTAAGGATTAGGAGGGTATTCCTCTCCATTTTTAAGAAGATGCTTAAGTGGCCTACCTACCAGCAAGCAAGAGAAACAAAAGTGAGACTTCAGCAGAAAATGTTTTTGTGAGCCGTTGGGGCCAAGTAGACTAGCTGTGTACATCAAGATTACATAAGGCTGGATTTTTTTTTTGTTGTTTGTACATTACTACAAAAAGCACTAAATCGGCATTCTATTATTTTTCTCTTTTGGTACTGGAATTTAATCATCTTTTCTTTATGTTTTATTTGCTTGCATTTGGTCTCCTTATTTATTTTGTCAATAGTACTTCAGAAAGGATGTTCAGACAAAATACAGAGTTGTCATTGGTTTTAACTAAATGAAATAGAAAAAAAATGAATGTTCAGTGAGAAAAAGAATCCAGTTTGGTTTCTGTCTGGACCTGTGTTGACTTTCTGTTGCAAACATGAGTAAAAATTCAGTAGAAAATAAGTAGATTTATATGTACATATATCAAGAAAAGAGTACAAGCATTTTTCATTAAAGTCAAAGCACCTTGGACTGACCAGGGAGGAAATCTCTTATGTAAAAAGGTGTAACTATTTTCAAGAAATTTCACTGACCTGAAGCACACCCGGAGCTCATCCGATAGGAATTGCAAACAGGGTGCAGAACAGACCCGCTGCCCGTGAGCAAGGCGTTTCTGCGGAATTAATGGTGCGGGGCTGATGTGCTTGGGGAAAAGTGAGTCCAGCAGCTACTCCCGGTGGTAAGGCAGGTAAAACTTTGGGAATACTGAGCAGTGGAGTAGAGGGATTGTCCATTGGGTGTTGGTGGTGCCATTGACTCCAGCCTGACACCTGGCTGGTAGACTAGTAGCGAGTGTTTGATTCAAAGTATATACAGGAAGTTTGCTGTGTGGGGGAATGTATATTCTTCTGTGTGTATACATACATAAATGTGTCTGTAAGCGTACATCAAGTATAGTGGTTTCCTTTCTCATCTCCAAGCTGCCTTTTTATGTTTCCCTTTTTGATCTGTTTCTAACCTGACGTGTCTTTATTTGCTAAAGCAGCCCTTCTCTTCTCCATCTTTTTCGTAGGTAGGACTAAGCAGACTGCAGAGTAGCGTGGGGCACCTGAGCTGGCTTTACCTGAAAGGCTGGGGTAGCTTAAGCAGTGTCAATATGAAGTTCCAGGTTGATGCAGATAAACTATTCCCAGCATTGTACATCGTCAATTTAGATCATACTGTCAAATTATCCATTGTTAGAATAAGGCATTTCCCCTTGTGTGAATTTATCTCCCTTTGTTTTGTTTTATGTAGAGAAAACATATGTATATGTGGATGCATGCTTTTATATTACCATGTGTGACATTGCCAAATTTATCATGTTCTTTGTGTTCAGGCATCAGGTTATTGTGAGCAAAGTCTGTAAAGTACACAAAAGGATTGCCAGTTGGCCTTTCGGTTACTTTATTTCTAATTGTTTCTGTGCACTGTTTTTATACGTCTACAGCGAAATGAAGCACTCTGCCACCTTTTTGCATACTTTTATTAGATCTCTCGACCTTTTTCTTCCTCTTCTACCTATGCAGTGCACTGTGTGAAGCTTTTTCTAGTATGGGATATACATCCTATGAAGCTTTGACAGTGCGTTCTTGGTTTCGATGCATTTTGCAAATGTTCATAGATCAACCGACTGGTACGCTGGCCAAGACAGATGCTGAGCGAACAGTTGGTAAGTGTTCACATTTCCCTAATGTTTGCAGTAACGATTCTATATTGCAAAACTGGCAAACATTTTCAGCTAATTACAAAATGTATTTTTGTTTGTATTCCTTTACTTTTACCTAATTACAAAATGTGTTTCTTTACGCTGCTTGTGCTATTTATTGATAGTTTGCCTGCTCTGCATATGACAAATTTATCACAAACAAAGATAAAAGAGCTTGTTTCCTTGGAAGCAAAGAACAAAAACTTGCTCCCAAGGAGACAAGCTATTTTTCCCCCATGGAGAAACTGCTCTGAAAAAAGTGAAAATCTGAAGTAAATAGTCAGAAATCACGCTGTGAATGCCCTAAAAGAAAAAAAAGGGAAAAAAAAAATCCAGTTGCAAGTAATTCTTCTCTTTTCTATATTGGATATTTTGCTTTCTTAGAGAAGTACTTCATCACTTCTTCTATAAAACACTGCAGTTCTAATTATTTGTAGAACACATCTTCTAGCGACTGTTTTTCATACACATTTTGTAGATTTTGAAGAAAACTGTCAGTAAAATGAAAGACTTAGTTATCTATTCTTCATTCTCATATGTCGCTATTAGAAACATAAGTAGTTTAGACACAGGTTCTTTGTCTAGAGAGATACAGTCGGTTGCAGAATGCTTGTATTTTAGACATTTTAAAATCGTTTCATTTTATGATTTTGGGACTAAAGTAAATTGAAAAGCATAACTGTATAGTGTATTTACTGCTGTGCTCTCTTGTAACAAACAGGGAAAGCCTATATGGAGCAGCTGACTGAAATGACAAGACTGATTTTTAAACTCTCAGAAGTAGAAAACATTCTTTCAAAGGCTCAGGTTGAAGAGTCAGTTTTCAAGCAAGACCCTAAAAATGCTCTTGTGCAATTCATTAAGGTACTGTGTTAGCTTCATAGGACAATTTTAAGGGAAAGGAATTATGTATCAGATTTTGTTTGGTGTACGAAAAGAAATTACTCACACAAACCTGGTAAAAGACTTAGTAAGTTTATTTAAATTTATTTCGGTGTTTCTGTTTTCTCAGGCTGTTGGTAGAACTTACAGTGGCCTTCAGACACTCCCTGAGAAATCTGCCATGGTAGCAAAGACTCTGGAGTATTTAGGTGATGTATTAAAGTATGTAAAACCTTATCTGAAGGTAAAAGGACCTCCAGAAGGGCTGCAGCTTACATATTGGATCATAGGTAATTATTTTGCAACCTCTTCTCTCTTAGGAAATAGTTCTAAGAAATCAGTAAAATGTGACTTTTAATACTTCTTTTTCCCTATGCTGTCTATCTTAATGGTTTAAAACAGCGAAGTCACCAAGATGTTACAGTTAGGTATTTACTTTTCTTCCGCTGATTTTTTTTTTGTTATTTTTTGTCCTGATGTCTAATTTCCTTGTGGCCTTTTTTTAGTTACCCCTGCAAATGAGTATTTTCCAAAGTAAGATGTTTTCATGTCTTTTACTGCTGAAAACCACCTGTTTTATCTGAACAAAACCAGAAATGATGACAAGGCAGTGAAGCAGTGTTATGACAGGCTACATCGTATTTACTGGAGTTCTGATAGTGGACAGGTTGGCTTAGGAATGTAATTTGCTTCCTTTTAGAACTGCTTCTCTTCCATATACTCTGTGCTTTATTAAAGCTCAAATTCTAGTATTTGTTCATTAAAGTGTGGAATCACTGATAGGATGGAAAAATAAGAGTGCTGTTTATTATGAATGAATACGCCATTCTGACCCACTTACCTTCAAAAATAGGGTAAACTTTATGTACCTTAAAGACAGAGGTAATGATTTGCATTTACATGCAGTGTCCGTCATGATTATAAGGAGTGCAGTGAAAAGCATGACCAAGATGCAGAAGGTGCATCAAATGTAATGGAATTTGAGCTTTGTAAAATGCTTTACTTTTCTATTGCAAGATCTGCAGATTTTGGTATACAAGACATACGTCAAATTAAATTTTTTTAGATATCCAGATGTTGGATTGGAGCCTTGTAAAGTAATTTTAGATTGGTATTTTCCTTTCTGTTCTTTGCAGTCGGAAATGATTAATCTTCAGTCACGCTATTGTGTGGAAGAAATTGTCCTTTCTTTTTAGTTAAGGAAACATAAAAAAGGTTTAAACGAAAAAAAATATTTAAGCGTATTTCAATCACTTCTTCACATTCAGTGGGCTTGTTAAATTATAAGGACAAAGCAAGAGACTTAACAAATCTAAACACCTCCTGTCTGTGGTCAGATTGTGTCTTCTACTGTCCCATACATCACAGCAGTGATAATAGGAGGAGTACTTTTAGCAGGA